AGTAAGCCTTCGCTGCTGCTCTGTGGAATGATATTTTGTCCTTTGTTCTTGTTATCAAATAGGATCAAAACCTGTCTTTCCATATAATGTGTAATGCTGAATCAGGTTATTAGAATCAGACCCTTGAGCTGTAGGTATCTTTTGTTTAAGAAACTCCTAAAGCTGCCTATCAATGTGTGCTAACTTGTCAGACATAAGGATGGAAGAAGAGGATTATGGCAAGATGATGCAAAATGTAATCACCACCTTGAAATTGCCCGCTCTCTACCACTGACCCAGACTGTCTCTTACCCAAATTCTGCTATAGGAGAGTATTAAATATGCAAATTCTATTTCATAGTTGTTCCTGACATGATACAGTTTTCCCCTACATAAGGAATTATCTCCCTCTGACCATTTTTTAAGCTGGCAGCATGTGACCTGTCTGCTGGTCTCCACTGGCAGTACCTCTGACTAGCTGGAGTGAGAGGACTTTAGCTTAGTATAGCTTTCCTATACTGAAAACTAGACTTCCAACTCATGCAGGAAGTTTGCTTTGTAAAACTGTGTGGATCGTTAGGGAAATCCATAGAGTTTCTTCCTTGTTTGGAATGACTGGTAATGTGTTTCCAGATCCTAAAATAGGAAGACGCCTATCATGAGCTTATAGCAGCTATCGCACCTACAAGTTACCCAGGTCAGGAAGCTTGGCCCCTTTCCTTTCACCCATCTCCAAGGGATCATTCTTGTACTATTTATAACTGTAAACTGATTTAAAGTTAATTTGTAAGAGGGCATTTAATGGTATACTCTGTGTATGTTTTATCAATAGCAGTATTGGCCATTATGAAGGTACCACTGTAGTATATGACAGAAACTGAAAGTAGGATTAAAAGGAAAGCAATTTGCAGTAACATTAACCAAGCTGAATGTAAAACCTATCTCTCATTCAGGAAATATGCTCAGTAAGAGCAGTAGAAGTCTCCCCTTTTGCTTGTGTTGATTCACTGTGATCACTTAAACAGTGAGAATGTCATAAAATGCTCTCTGTATGTGTGCGTGCATATTATACTGCATTTTTCTGACATATGTTTACACAGGAACACATACTGCCCAGAAGAAAAAACGAGTGTGAATGCTTATCTTTATTCTTATCTAGTTGCATGCTAACAATATAAAGAAACCATTTTATATAGCATATGTTTTATACATACTTCTGAAACCATGAAATAGTTGTCTTCAGTGGCACTAAGGCATAAGCGTAGAATAGTAGCTTTTATTTCAAGTATTTTGCCTTTGAAAGTTTCCTTAAAACTTTGACTCTTTAGTTTCCTAAAGTTTTCCTTCTTAGGTTTTATTTATCCACAGCAGCTCAAAGACTTATTGATACTGAACCAGAAACATTATTTTTCTGTTCGTGTGGTCTGTCTTTGATGGTGCTAGAATTGGGACTTCATTGTTGGTAGAGGCCACTTTGATGTTGCATGTATTTGGAGGTATGATGGTCATAATGACATATGGCCCTTTGGCGATGGCTGATGTAAGGTAAGGCTCAACCAGTCACTTGTCTGCTAGCTGGTCACATATACCAAGCAGTCTGTGAAGCAATTTATACGATAGCAAAGAGCAATGAGGAAAGGAGAACCTGTCTCCAATCCTGAATTGAGTACAAAGGTGCTGCTTCTCCTTCCTCTATCCATTCCAGCCTATCCCATGCACATCTGAGTATGGGGCAGCCACAGACCTTGTCTTTGTGCTCTCATTTGGGGGCATGACATCCTCTTTTTCAGGCTGCCTACAAGCAGTGATAGTTTCCCAGTCTGGTAAGTGCTGAGTTTGTACTTTATTAGGCAAGATCAGTTGCTTTCCATGTGTTCATGTTGCCAAGTTGTGTTCATGGTTCTTTTCAAGACAAATCTTTGCTTTAGTACCAGAGGGTATGGAGATATGACCAGAGGAGGCACGTCCGGCTTTAATTTACCATAAGCTCGCAGAAGAGTCATGTGAATTTTTCTCAAGGATGAAGAGCGTTGAAATTGCTTGGTCCGCAGGGTAAAAAGACTTCAGAGTATAATGTTCTTAATTGTTTTTAGAAAGGGGAAATTTAACTTCAAAATGTTCAAAAGGAAGCAAGCCTTTTAAGTGATTCTAAATCACTGGGGTGCTTTAAAAAATAATTTCACTGTAACTTTAATTTTAATTGCCTGCCCCTTCCTCTTATTGTCATGGTACTTTCATCCCCTCTGTTTTCCTGGAAGAGAGTGTTGTTATTGCTGTTTATTTTAAGAAATCCACTGGAATTTGTCCTGCAGTGCAGCAAAATTTCAGGGATGGATATGTTTTAATATTCTGCATTATGAATATTTTTTATATCTTTGTAATTAAAAAAAATGAAGTTTTAATGACTGCTCTCCTATAAACCCTGGACTGCTGCATTTGCAGCATAAGAAACTGAGGACAGACAATGCCAGGTGCAGCCAGAATACTGCTGCAGCCTCACAACATATCATTTTTTTAACATTATTCAAATTAGTCTCAACACTCATAATTCTGTTGTTTCCTTTATTGCTGTTGTAAAGCAAATGGTTCTTTTATACAAATGTTATCTCCTGGCTATTAATTCAGCAGTTATTTTGGATTATGGCACTTGTGTTAAATTTAGGAATGTAAAACCTCATAAATATTTAAAAGTTTCCGACTGACGTGGGAAGAAATTGTTTTTGACTTGCTTTGTTAATATCCTGTTGTTCGGTTTGTAATAGATTTGGAATATATTGTTATTTCTCCACTGTTTGACAAAAGGAAAAACAATTTCAGTTGAGCAACTGCTTCAAGTGTTTTCCCTTGAACTGTAACAGGCTGGTAAAAGTGTTTGTTTCCAGTAAAAAAAAGCAAGGAAAATATCTGTTTTCCTTTAAGAGGACAAAAACCATGAAAATTTTAATCAGAGCCCACTTCAAAGTTAATGAAAATGCTGCAGTAGGTTTGTAAAGAGTAGTTTTGATAAAACAATTTCAAGTAGGTCTACTTACAGTCAAGTGCTTCTGTTTAAGCATCTTTGTTATTTAAACGTCTCTCTAAGGAACAAATGAGTAAGATGGACAAATGTGTTTCTTCCATCAGAAATATTTTATAGAGAGTGCATTTACTATTCAATGAGTTTATTCATAGACTAACTATTAGTATGCATCTTGAGTGTCCCCCAAAGCTCTGAAGAATAACTGATTGATACAAAAGTCATGATTTTTGTAAGACAGATGAAGGTTTGGACAACACAGTCTCTGGGCCATCATTCCTGTTTCATACCTACCCATATTTTCTTTTTCTTTCTTTACCTCAGAAGTAAATACATAGCTTTTCAGCCAGATCTTAAAGGGTGTTAAGGTGTAACTCCTGTTGGGATCATCTAGAAGTATTTAAAATGTTTCAGTAATTATTCAAAAAAAGATGCTGAATTGATTCAACTTTGATAAGTACAGTAGCAGACTAAGCATGCGGTTAACAGAGCTTACATCTCTGCCTCTGTGCTCCAGAGGTTCTTCAGCTGTGTCCTGGGATGACATTTGACTTGATGGGTTTGTTGTATTTTCTGTGTCAGTTAACCTTGCTGGTGTAACGCTGTGACTTTTTGTGGTATTGGCATGCTTTACTGGGTGCTGAACTGAAAAGACTTTTCTTCTAGCTAGCAAATAAGTTAACACTGCAATGTTAATACTATTTTATGACAGGTTTGCACCATCTTCTCTTATGTGGCATAGCAAAAACAGCCTAATCTCTGCATAAAGTAATTATCAAGGTAGCACTTTCCCTTTGGCTAGAAAAAGCTTTTTGCATGTCAGTAACTTGTAGTTAGGGTGCGATATTTCAAAACACAAGTTTTCAAAAAGGTAATCATAAGGTGGTCACGTAGAAAAAGCTGTAATTGTGAAGGTGAACTTACAGTTGCATGAACAAATTGGTATTTTATGCAAGTGAGTACCTGGATGTGCCATACCAGCTGAGTCCGTACGATTTTAACTAATTCAGCATGGTCCAGCTCATGGCCTGTGGGCTGGATCCAGCCTCTTTGTGAGGTTTCTACCTGACCCATCACCTTCTTGCTGCGGGAGACAGGGAACAGATGCTCCTTCAGCAAACGCAGCCTCTTCCACCTGCCCTCCCTGGGGAGATGAGTGGCAAATCCAAAGGGGCATAAGGAAGGGCAAACAAGCCCGTGAGGGTTGTCAGCACCTCTGCCTGGCTCCTGCAGGTGCTGCCACTGGGCCAGCCACAACACATCTGTGTGCGCAACTGTACGCATCAGCCAGTCCTGCACACTCATTTATATGTTTTTGTGTGCATGAAAAGCTCGTTCCTCTCTTACAAAAAGAAAAATGTCTGCTCTTACACAGACAAAGCAAAATGTAAGGGTTTTGCTGTTGTTTATTGACTTACTACATGATCAGCATGTTGAAAATTACTTTTATTTTACTTTAGAAATTACTTCTGCTAGACATTTCTTGTACTACTGTCTTTGGTTCTATGAATGTGTTATGAACAGTGTAAAGCAGAGGGCACTTGTGTGCTTATGAACATAAAGACATTTGGATGAAGAAATTCTGCAGAGCAGTATATTTACTTTGCATTTCTGAATGGTAGCAATTAAAATTCCCAGCTGCTGGCTGTCCAGATGTTTCTTGCATTACAGCATTGTAATTTGCATTGGAATATATTGTGTTGTTGCAGTAACTGTAAAGTGGTCAGCTCTCACAGTCTAAATGCTGTGTACGGGCTCCAGTTGGGATGGTGAGCGTATTTCCTGCTCGTACCGGGTTCTTCTCCTTCCCACTGTTTCCCAGCTCTTTTAGCTTGACATGTTTGTAGTTCTCAGATGGAGACTTTTATTGCTCAGCATTCAAATCAAGCGGGGGAGGTATTGGCAGGTCAGAACTGATGTATGGATGGTTTCTTGTAAGAGTGACACAGATAAAAAAGGCCCAAGTTTTGAATCAGAAGTTTCCCTTTCCCTTTGGCATTTTCAGGCAGCAAACATCCCTCTGGTGTCAGAGCTTGGCATTGATGATATCCATTTTGATGACTTCTCGCTTGATGTGGATGCCATGATTACTGCAGCCCTGAGGATGTTCATGGAACTTGGAATGGTTCAGAAATTTAAAATTGACTACGAGGTAACCATCTGCACTGCAGAGAGATCTGCTGCTTTTGTCTCGGCACTGCTCTGTCCATTTGTACGCATTTAGTAGCCCAGATAGAATTTGTACTTTTCATTTCAGACGCTGTGTCGGTGGCTTTTGACGGTTAGGAAGAATTATCGAATGGTTTTGTATCACAACTGGAGGCATGCTTTCAACGTCTGCCAGCTAATGTTTGCCATGTTAACTGTAAGTATCCAGCTATAGACACAATTCCATAAGAGCTTTTACCGCTACGTTACCTTACACGTCTAAACATTGTCCAACACTTCATTTCTTTTCTAGTTATTATAATACTCATTCATTTCCAATAGAAATGCACGCGGAATTAGGTTACTCTACTTAAGGCGACACATATTTGGCAAAACCTTATAGTGTTTTAGTGACAGTGATATCACAGGCACATTAAAGTGACTGAAAACAGATGGCAGTCTTGGAGTGAGCTTGTTATTATAGATCTCGATCTTACAAAAATTTTTTGCTTTTGGAACTCTTTGATTTGATATTTATTTCAGACTCTTAAATTGGTAAGTATAAAAACAAGGAAGATTAGAATCCCAGAAGTATTTATTATGTTGATATTTATTACCTTCTTATGCACCTTCATCTAAATAGCTGTAGAAGGTATTGCCATAGAACATTTTAAGATTATCTTCTAACATAGTGACCGAACTGAATTTTTTGTCTCCGTTAAACACTGTAACACTCCTGGGTTTTTAGTAACATGTATCTCCATGAGTACCAGTAACACATCTCAGCGTACAAGTAAATTCTGTTGGAAGTACTGCTGCTCTAACTCACTCTCCCTCCCTACCCTACAACAACGTTACTGCATGAAATAAGCCATGTTTGGCTAGTTAATTCTTTTAAATGTATCAATAAAAACCTTGGTGGTCCTGGATGTTTAATATTCTACTTAATATGGCGAAAGAGAAGCAACTTGTCTGTGTGCACACAACACTTACCACTGGACTTGACATTTTGGGTTTGCCTTATTTCCAGATAAAAATAAGAGTCCACTTTTTCCGTTTTTTCTTCATGTTCAGTTTTAATGGCCAGTGTCACCTATTGTAAACCTTAAATGTTCATATTAATAGCATTTGTGCAAGTATTTATCTGGGATATCACGTGCTTGTTCCTTCATTTTTAATGACTGAATGTTTATGTTCTCATTGCTGGCTGGTCTCTGCGGTGTGGTTAAGCATCTGGACCCCATCTTTAGAGGTGGAGACTCCACAGCCTGTGCCATTCGCAGCACAGGTCAGCGCCGTGTTACACGGACTTGTGACAGTCCGTTGCCTGTTTCCCATTCGTGGGGCACAGCTGTCTTGTGCATGGGTTCCCAGCTGTCCTCCTCCATTTGGCATCATTTCTGTGGCAGAACTTTGTGTGTCAGGCAAGAAAAGTGTGACATCCCCTAGCAGGTAGACACTGGTCTAGTGCTAGGTCTGTCCCAGCAATGCGGGTTAGTTTCTGTGAGCATTTACAGAGGCCTAACAAAGTTCCATAGACAGAGAGACAAAGGAAATTGAGGCATTCAGCAAGAGAGAAAGGTCACCTCTTCTTCTGGGTGTGAGGCTGTTCAGCTGAGCGGAATTAACATTGTTTCAGCAGGCACTTTCTGATAAGCTCTAATGAAATCTGGGTGTAATGTGTGGGCATCGGTCGTTTTTAAAGTTTTAGAAACTTGACGTGCTTTTTTTTTTTTTTTTCAGTTATAGAAAAATTAAAAGCTTTTTACTCTGAGGTGTAAGAGCAAAGTCAGGCAGCGCCTTTCAGCTGGGAATTGCATTCATTTCTGCTAAAGGCTGCCAGGGGATGAGGACCCCTCAAAGCTCACCCGTGAGGACCTCTAGGTGGAGCTCCGAGGCCGGGTTTTCGGCTGGCCGTCCTTTCGGTGGACGGGCATCTCCATCTCAGCTAGCGGTGCCTACACTGGCAGGCAGCAGGGAGAAGGCAGATCACTGCTGCTTCAACAGCCAGCAGCACGCCAGCAGCGAGGCCTCGACCATAAACTGCTTTGAACGTGGTTCTCAAAGCATAATTTCAGGACCTGGGCTGTCAGCACAGGCATGCAACTGTCTGTGAGAGGTGATTTGGGATTTTTAAACCAAGCTAGTTTCATTGCCCCCACTACTGGTAATAAAACAAACGAGCAATTCCATGTGCCAGGTTGGATGCCTGTGCCCATGGCATTGGACTCGCCATGCATCCCACCCCACTGGGCTGTGGCGCTGGCTGAGAACAGAATAGGTTCAGGTGTATGATCCGCTTGGGCTGCACTCCCTTCCAGAGATATAGGAAGACTGATCTTGTGGAAAAAAAGACAGAAAAGGGAGTCAAGTGGCTAGTAATAGCACAAGGCGTGCTTTGACTGCATTTGTCTTGGGGGAACCATCCAAGATAGTATGTGCCTTGTTTTTTCACTTGCAGAAAGGGCAAAATTCTTTGACCATCAGAGGGGGGCTGTGATTATCAAGGCCAGCACTGCTTTGTGCAGCTATTGCACCCTGTTCCTGATTTCCCCGTGACAGTCAGCAGTATTGACTGCACCACAAATATAAACCAGTAAGTCTATTTTAGGGTGTTTTCAAGTAGGACTTACCATAGCATAGAAATGTCTAATCTGTAATGCGGTAGCCTCTAATGGCCTGGCTATGCTCCCGCTGAATGCAGAAGGAAAATTGAACTGGGTTGAACAAGCCAAACAACTGAAATCCAAGAAAGGTTAAACCAGTTGTTTCACTCCTGGGTCAGCCTTCTGCATATCTAAGGTATGTCCTGTATATTTAAGTATGTGTTTTCTCTCTCTGGTTAGATACTGAACAATTACAAGCGCAGTCCTGCAAGCCATACTTCTGTATTTCAGACTCGCCCAAATAGTCTGAAGACAAGCACCTGAAGCAAGACTGCTCCTGCGAGTTAGGGACAAACTAACATGAGAGCAAACCGCAGGATCAAGCCCAGGCTTCGTTATCAATGCCTTTGCCTAACACAGTTCACATACTTATTTCAAAAAGTAAAAATGAACAAGTAAGCAATACAAAATTAAAATCCCATCTGGTACGCTAATAACAAAACATATAAATGTGGGACAAGGTATAATGAATGCAATTCATTTCCTCACATGAAAGAATGACCTCCATAACTCACTGGAGACTCTGCCACTCATGAGTTATGGGTCATTCCTTTTCTGGTGAAAATAAATTTTACTGCACCATCGTCTATAGCCATGTATTTTTTCTCTCTGTGTAAATTAAAAAAAATGGGGAAATGTAATCCTGTTTTCTTGCGTTATGTTCAAAGCAGATATCCCCTTACTGTAACATTGTTTTAAATGAAATGGGTTTTTATTAAGTGAAATAAGCTATATTTCTCTCATATATTTGATTACAAGACTTTTGATTAAATAAAATGTTGTATTTATTTTTGAGATATTGCTCCTGTTAATAAATTCCTTAATCGGCTTTCTTGCATTTGCAATACAGCTTGAATCCTTGAGTTTAATCAAAGCTTGTGTTATGCTTAAGAATATTTACTACAGCATCAATTTTATATTATAAAACTTCCACTTCAAGTTGTTTTAACTTGACCATGAATGTTTTCTCTAGATTGAAACTTGACACATGGCATGTTGTCAGTTACACACCTGTTTTTTAATCCCTTTTTTAAAAATAGACTTTGATTATTATTTGTCATAAGAGCAATGTTCAAAAAATAAAAAGACAAAACACTCTTTTTTTTAGAGAATTTCCTCTGCCTGGCTGCCTTTTACTGAAACTAAAAAAGCGGTGCCAGTAGGAATCAGAAGGATCGCTTTCATAATATCCAAGTTACTCTGTACACCAGTGGATTCTGTACAAAAGGAATCTTTTTGCCTCATATTTGGTCATCTTTTCTGATATTTAAACTTTAAGCACAATTATAAAGCTTTCATAGCAAGTCCTACACTTCCTCAGTGCATTCCTGAGCATCTGCGGGAGCTCCCTGTACTACCTAAATATTAACTGCAGCCACATTTCAGACTATGAAAACAGAGGCTATTTGGATTTGAATGTGCATTTATTTAAATAGAATTTGTGGTCTTCAGGGCGTATAGCAGAGTTTTCAGGTGGTATTGCAGCAATTGACTGGCACTTCTGAGTGGCCTGTAAGTTCCTACCAGTTAAGGACATCAGTTCCCACTGATATTCACTGTCTTTGTATCCCTTAACCCTCTTCTTGCCAGTGGGTGAAATTATGGCCCATTGAAAATCAATGGAACTCAGGATTTTTTAAACACTGTTAGTGTTCAGCCTTGGTTTGGTCCTCCAATATAAATGTGTATTATATTCTTTTTATATAGTTTCCTTTCATACTAATTAGATTGTGTGGCTAATTGAGGAGTGTTGTTAGAGACTGGCACTGTGGAAAGACAAGTGTTATGATTTTCCAGCTCAGCCAGTCATTTTTGCAGGCATTTATGCTTCTGAAGAGTTGAAGAACCAGGTTGTTTCTTCCATGGGTAAGAGGAGAGGTTGTGTCCCACACAAGCTCCAGCACCTCTCCAGGCAGGATCTGCTCAGGATGCCTGAGGTTAGCAGTAACAGTAGTACTTCTTTTCTGACATGAGGCCGTTCAAGGCAGGAAAACTGCTATGGCAAGTATCCATGAGGAAAAGTATAGTGGCAAAAAGATGTTTCTAGGGTCATCTCCCCTGTTCACATGGGGTGTATATGGTCTGAGTGGCTCATGGGGAATTTCAGTACATCAGTTTTCAAAATTTGTTCCCAAATTCAAGCGGGTACCTGCAGAAGAAATATGCCATTTGAGACATTTCCTCTTTAAAACATGCTGCTTCATTTCATGTGTCCCAGATAACATATCTCTTCATAGTTCCTAATAGTTCCATAGAGTATATTTTAGCTGGCTTCTTTTGTAGGTCTTTTGATTTAACATCTTGGCTATCTCTGTCAGTAGGCATTGACTAGGATGGTCACTTCAGGATTGAAGAAATCTGTCTAAGTAGTTCTCTGAACAATAATTTCAAAATGGAATCAATTTTGTTTTGTATTTCTCTGATATGAAATTCCAGTTCCTGTCTTAGTGTGTAGTTATTGGTGTTTATTTTCAGCAATTTTTGCCTGTGGTGCCTTCTGGGTAGTGGAGAAATGGCAGGCTGGAAATGCAACAGGGAGATAGTAACAGAT